ATAGTGCTCTTGGAAAAGAAGTCCTACAGGACTAAAGTTGTTCGTTTCATGCCTAAACTACCCTTAACTTTACTGATTTCTCTTTTCTTTAAGTGCCTATAACCCCCAAAATAGTTTATCGCCATATTAGATCTCTCTATTGCACTGAGCAAAATGCTGCAAAACTTTTTTGTGTTTGTTTAAAACCGCGATATTTTATGAATTTTCAAAGATGGGTTTATTTTTGGAACGACCAGGTGAACCAGAGACTGGGACTAGTGACGTCATTCCAGGCCATCGGCAGTGGCGCTCCGATCTAATCTCAGTCAATATTATACGTTTCCAACGAGATGAAACCTTCGCTAAAGCCTGATCCGGTAAATTTTTCTCACCTTTCTTTTACTTCGCTCGCTTTCAGCTGATTTCGTTTCCACTCGTGAACAGTCGGAAAGACGCAAATTCCAACTCCATCTTTTCGCAACCTTCGTTGCATGGTCTCGCTAGTCAGAGCAGAGAACATGACTGAATGGTCTTCTTCTCGGAAGTGGTTGAAACACACAACCGCGTATTTTGTGGGCTTCCAATGTGCATGCTTTATTTGCACAGAGTCAACCCACTTCTTTCTTCTCTTTGTTTTCTCCGGGTCATCTGCCCCATAAAAAGGTATCGGATGAAGTGCTACTCTTTTTTCTTTGTCGGAAGTGTTGCTACACCCGAAAACAATACACTTATCAGGCACATCCCAAGGGCGTAGCCAGGGGGATCCTGGGGTGCCCGTGCCCCCCACCCCCCACACCCGGTGGGCCTTCTTTAGAGCAAACAAACTACAATATTCAGGTGGCGAAAACGCCATGACGATATCTTGGCCGTAAAAGCTATTGCTGAAAAGCCCACTTTTTTAAAATTTGTTTTTTTGTAAAGTATTTTCGTCAACGGCTCTTGTATTTAGTTAATATGGGCCTTCATGCCGCGATAATACAACTGAGCCCGCTGATACACGCGGGAGAGCAGCGGTGTAAATGGTCAATAGCCTCTGTGACCCCTCCCGCTTTGAAAAATCCTGGCTGGGCCCCAGCATCCGTCAAGATACCTCATCCAGTCCTTGAGGCAAACTCATTGGAAAGCCTGGAATGACGTCACAAACTCTGCTCGACCCAGACCCATCTTGATAATTCCGTGCCTCAGTCGTGTTTTGAAAAAATATGATTTTCCACAACTTTGAAAATTCATAAAAAATCGCAGTTTTAACCAAACACAATTTTTTTTGCGGCATTTTTCTCAGTGCAAAAGAGAGATTTAACATGGCTAAAAAACATTTCTGGGGTTGTAGGCACGTTAATTACAAGCCCTACGCCAACAATGTTTCGTGCTAGTCATTTCAGACCAGATACTTTTTGTGCGAAAAATAAAAAGAGAATCTTGATTACATTGCCGATACGTCCTTCTAGGAATATTGGAAGAAAAAAACCACAAAATATTGAAATGAATCTCCTTAATTTGAAATTGCCCTTTTTTTGATTAAACAATGAAATTATGAACTAGTCTCATCATTCAACTGTCGGAGTCCTCTTTCCTGTAATGAACATAAAAGAAAGAAGTCTTAAATAACTTAATTAATATTTCTTATGTAAAGCAAACAAAGTTGTACTAGACCCAATATCATTGGGAATACGAAAGGCCAACATTGATTGACAAAGAGGTACTCTCGATATTCTAAATTTTACTACTGACAAAGAGCGTCTAATGTTACTCTCCGAAATAATAAGAAAAAGAGATATAAAACTAGCCTTGATATTGAAGGTGACGTGGGATCCCCGTTGAGCGTCAGCAACCAGTTAGGCAGAGTCACCTTAACATTTTATTTAAGTTTGATTTGTGAAATATTTTTCTCGCTGAATCTTACCTCTGTTTGCCAAACTCAAGCCTCACGTCATCTCCAATCAGCGTGAACGAAGCCCACTCAGACACTTTGGTAAAGCCGTTATTTCTCATCCACTTCATGGCCTGATGAAGAGATTCACAGGCACTTTTTCCACCAACAAGGTGTTCGTAGAACCGACTCATCAGCTGCTCTGTCGCTGAGTCTGGAATGGCCCAAAGTGCGACTAACACCGAGCGAGCACCAGATCCTAAGAACGCACGGGCAATTCCAATAACTCCCTCGGCTCTTATCTGTCCACTTCCACTGTGACAGCAGCTGAGTACCACTAGTTTAGCTGTGATTTTCACTCGTGAGACATCAGCCATTGTCAACATATAAGCTTCCTGTGGTGGAATAGTGTTTGTACTGTTAATAGTTGGATTAGGGGAGAGGGAAATTTCTCCTCTTTCGGCGTTACCATGAGCAGCAAAATGTATCAGGCTCACCGAGCTTATCCTTTCAAGTACCGCCTCCTTTGTTGCTTGGTCTTCTACTAAGGGCGGAACGCCCACGAGTCGTCCTACCATCTCCGCTTCCTTTCTTGCACCTGGCAGTGGCAGCAACCAATTAACCTTAGGATTGCCTATTATCAAGGCTCCAGTGTTGCTGTGATAGTCCTCTGGACTGTCTTGAATCATCTTGAGTGTCGTCAAAGAAGGAATGACACGGATCCTACGAGTTTCAGAGAGGTATTTGGCTCCCTCCTTTTCCCTCAGGGCAGCAAAGGGAACTTTGTACAAAGTACTGTGCGGAACAATAATGACTTCAGGCTCCTCGAGCAAATCATAAACTGGGGCAATAAAGATTTTGTAACACAGCGATAGACTTGAAATGACTTTCTTTTCCTCCTCCAGCAGTCGCACCCTTGCTGAGCTCTTTTGCTCGGAGGTAAGAGGTTGCGACTCAATCATATTTAAAGACCGATCTTCACAATCTTCAATGGTCAAAATACCAAGACTCCGGAGGTTATCAGCCAAAAATTTGCTCAAAGGCAAATCTTTAGGCAACCCAGCCTGAAAGAGACTCTCTTCTAGTGATATTCGTTTAAAATGAATGGCTCCACTTATTTTTAAGATCCACAAATGCACGTCACTTTGAAGATAAGAAATGTAAAGACAAGTACAGTTATTTTCCTTTCTCAAAGTGTTTTCAATGCCAGACCAAGATTGTGGATTAGCAGAGATGTGCATTTCAACCGAGTACTTCTTCGCCATCAGGTCTGATAGGCCTCTTGCACGACTTAACTCCTCGACATATAGAGCATCACTAGTACTTCCGGTTCGACAAAGCAAAATGCAAAGCAGATTGTAGGGAAATACACAAGCGTGATCCAAAAGTGATGTTTTAAACTGATCGTTTACGCCAAGGAAATCTCTCAATTCTTCATATGTAACAATGCATTGATGAAGATAAGAAACGGAGTCTTTCATTTTGTTTTGACATAAATACAAAATTACATAAGCTTTAAGGATCTCTAACTCTATTCGTTTCTGTCCAATATCTCTGGATATGATTAACGCTCTCTCGAAGTATGCTTCCGAAGCTTTATAATCTCCAAGGGATCTAGAAATAGTTCCGAGGTTTGCAAGAACTGTTGCCTCCCCTCCCTTTTCACCAATTTCAGTTGTGATGACAAGCGCTTTTTCACCATACTCTTTTGCTTTGTCATTCTGCCTTTGAAACTCAAACAGAGCTCCTAGATTTAGGTAGCAATTCGCCTCTCCACTTCTGTCGACAATTTCAGTTCTGATGAAAAGCGCTTTTTCGTAATACACTTTTGCCCTATCACATTGCCCGAGCGACTGATACACAGCTCCTAGGTTTCCGTAGCAAATTGCCTCTCCATATCTGTCGCCAATTTCAGTTTTAATTACAAGCGCTCTTTCGAAATACTCTTTTGCCCTGTCGTATTGCCCAAGGGATTCATACACAGCTCCTAGTGTCCCGTAGCAAGTTGCCTCTCCATTTCTGTCGCCAGTTTCAGTTCTGATGCCAAGCGCTTTTTCGAGATATTCTTTTCCCCTGTCGTATTGTCCGAGCGACTGAAACAATATACCTAGGTTTCCGTAGCAAGCTGCCTCTACATTTCTGCTGCCAATTTCAGTGCTGATGCCAAGCGCTTTTTCGAGATACTCTTTAGCCCTGTCGTATCGCCCAAGGGAGTGAAACACAGTTCCTAGGGTGCTGCAGCATGCTGCCTCTCCATTTCTGTCGCCAATTTCAGTTTTGATGACAAGCGCCTTTTCGACATACTCTTTAGCCCTTCCGTTTTGCCCGAGCGAACGAAACACACTTCCTAGAATTACGTAGCAAGTTGCCTCTCCATTTCTGTGGCCAATTTTAGTCATAATGACAAGCGCTTTTTCGACACATTCTTTAGCCCTTTCGAATTTCCCGAGCGAGAAAAACACAGAAGCTAAGTATGTGTACCAAGTTGCCTTTCCATTTCCATCGCCAATTTCAGTTTTGATGACAAGCGCTTTCTCGAAATACTCTCTTGCCTGTCATATTGCTTGAACAACTTACACAAGATTCCTAGTCTTTCGTAGCAATTTGCCACTCCATTTTTTTCACCAGTTTGTCTCATTATATCTAATCCTCTTTCATAAAGGTTTTTGGCTTCTGTAAACTTGTTTTGACTCTCAACTATCTCTGCTAGAGCCTTGCTCATATACCCTTCTTCTACTAAGCGACCAGACTCGTTGTATAGGACAAGTAGTTTCCTTCCGTACCTTTCGGCATTTTTGTAGTCAGAAATACGACGATAAGCGCGGAAAAGAACGCCATAGATGGCGTCGTAGCGTAGTGAGATAAACTGGTCTTTGATGTGTTGGTTGGTGTTATTTAGCAAAATCAAGCATTCGCTGCACATCTCAATGGCTTTTTGAACGCGATCTGAGTTTAGCAGGAACACGGCGACAAAAAAGGCTATGTTTACGGATATTAGTACGGCTTCTACCTTTAGGTTTTGCATTGCTATCCTCTCCTGTCATTTGATCCAAATAAGACAAACATTTTTAGTAACACAAGTTAACCACTGAAATGATCAGATAATCTAGATTCATTATGAGTCACTACGAACAGGAAGCTATATGTGAACTTAAAAGAACGAGCTGGGTTGATTACTTTTAGTACCGAGCTGAAAGTGTTGCAATATTCATAATATTTGCTTAAGATAAGAAATAAATGGAAGTCCGGCTTTGTGATAAATTCACTTCACTCCGGTGGCGATTTTTGCACAACATGATCTGACTTTATAGTCACAGGACAGGATAGGATAAACTAGCATTCATATTGGCCTTCGTGATTAAAAAGTGACTTAAACAATTTTTTTTAACTTTTTAACAATTTTTAAATATAAACTAGTGAGCAGCACTTCTGCGAACAGTAATTGTAACACTTCTTTATTCTGCGACGCGTTTCGTGCAACTTTCGGAGACCTCTTTAGGAAGTTTTACAAGCATAACTAAACGCCTGTATGTATAAGCCAAAGTTAGGGGCTATTACGGGGGCCAATGACCAAAGAGGCTTGGTCGGACTCACGAACAGGAACAGGAGAAGTTGTAAGAAATTTGAAACGTGTAGGGCAAGGTGAGAAAAACATTTTGGGGGCGACGGTTTTAGCTGAAACAAATTAATTTTACTTCGGTAGTGATTTTTGCTCAACATGATGTGACTTGACTCAACTTTGACTTTGCTCAACATGTGACTTTGCTCAACATGATGACTTTGCTCAACATGATGTGACTTTGCTCAACATGATGTCACAAGACAGGACAGGACAACAGCATTCATATTGGCTCTCGTGATTAAAAAGTGACATATGCTTTAGTAACCGCAAAAATTAAAGCTAGTTGATGTTTTTCAAAGTGAAATGACAAAAATAGTAAACATCAGTCGGTACTTTTTGCTACATTCCAAAACCAGGCCAACCCATGCATGATTGTTAAGTGTTTTGATACCGGGAAGCAAATAAAAACTTCAGAACATCTTGAGTAATATAAACCACAGCAAACGATTCTGCAAATTTTTGATTTTTTTAAAAGATAGGTAAACGTTTCGGTTGAAATTTAAGCACTGGCTTATCTAATTCACAAAAGTTGTCTTACGACGTGGCGGATTTCAAAATATTGTAATCCCCTTTCTCCCACATTTATGCATTTAATTATGACTGGGGTTATATTATACTAAGATTGTGAGCGAATGTTGTTTGAATTCTTTTCATAGCCTAACAAAACATCCTAACCAGTTTCATTGCTGTACTAAATAAACTATACACTTCAATTTTAAAAATAAACGCAGTGATCAATTACGCTTCCTTTAGTTCCTTACAGAGAATTATGACATCGTTCGTCGTCGGCACGCGGTGTTTTTGACTGACTTGTCTTTTCATGCAAGACCTTGACGGTACTTTCACAAATAGTTACTAAAAAGAATGATGGCGATTGGAAAAATCACGAGCTGTAACACCGCAGATATCGTCGGCATCAGCTGGGGACAGTCCACATTAGAAAAAGGCCTTAAAATAGGATTCATCTTAGTTTTTAATCACGTCATTGTGGAGACCATCAGTTTATCAAAATGCTAATGAAGTTAAAATACAGCGTTTAAAGCCATAACCGTTTGAATAAAGCAATTGATTCAGTTAAACGGTGGAGATATGAAGCATTTGTCCGACGGAAAAGTGCACTTATATCAGGAAATTTAAATAAGTTTCAGTTTCTAAAAGAAAATTAAAACAACTCTCTGCGTGAGTGCTCAGTGTTCTTGTCTGACTTATCTGCTATGCGAGATTCAGGCGCTCTAACAGACAACTATTGCACGCTCTTTGGGATAATTTGCACCGTGGAACCGTTAGCATTCAAAAAAATTTTGAGTAAGGTATCTCGGCTGTAAAACGCCTGTGTACATGTAGAAAACAAAAAATTCAATTCCTATCTACCGTGATTTTTGAATCGTTCATTGCACCCTCCTAAAACAAGGTCAAGTTAATAACTGATGCAGATCATGGCCACTGGAAAATCATGGGATATCAGCGGGATATCAGCGAGGGAAAGAAGTCCATAAGATCAATAGGTCTGACGCTATAAATAGGTCTGATTTTAGTTTTCTGATCAGCAGTTTTCTAAATTGAACGATTCTCAATAATCTTGTCTGGTGTGAGGAGCTATGAATTATAGGGTATACAGTCACAAAGGTTTGAAAAAGTCGCTATAGAACGAATTGATTTACTGTGGCAGCGATTATGATCACAGCGTGACATAACTACATAGAGCACACACAAAGATCGAAAGAGCAGTTACTGGGCTTTCCCAGGAGAGCCTTACCTGTTCACGGTTACTAAATAACCACAGCTAATGAAAACCCGAGTGATTTTCAATCGTACTTACCAAGATGTTGAATTTGTGGCTTACACTTTCAAAATGAAACGACCGGAAATGATAATTTACAGTCAGGACTTTTCCTAGCTTTCCCAGACTTCCGCTGTCACAGTGTTTTGGGATCCAGATCACTTATGTTTTAGTTTAGTCCCTCCTCCCTACCCCTCACCCCCTTTTTAGACTAATCGAAAGGTAAAACGATAAATTTTTTAATGCAGAAGTATTTTAGGCTCGTTTAACCGTCTATCGCGTCCTAGCTGGTTAGGTTAAAATTTTCGACGCCCATTGGTCAGATGATAAAATGCTTATTTGACTAGGTTTGGTGGGACTGTACGTCATGAGATCGGGTCAAATGTTTTCCCATCCGGCCCTCCCACTCACTCAATAAGTACATAGCATTTCAGTTTTGTACGTCCCATTTTATAACTAATGATCGATTTAAACAGGTCAAAATAAAAAATAAAAAAATATTTAACATGGGAAGCGAGGCTTCATTGTTTCTTGCTTTGCAGTGGTTGGATTAGCATCACAAGATCGATCACACGAACAACTGACCGAAGTTTCTTTATTTCAAAAGGGTAAGTTATCTTCTATGCGTGATAAGCGGATCATTGTCTTCATAAATTTTTCATTTTCTAGCAGTTGTAATTTGCGTCATCAAAGACAAAAACACTAGCAAAACTAAGTGACTGTATTTCGGTTCGGTAAGTAACACTTATAACTAATGATGGATTTGAGCATCCAGAAAATTAAACTTTTTTTTACTCTGTTCTGCATGTAACGTCATGCTTGAACATGTTCAACCTTTTGGTACGGTTAGATTTGATCATGTTACAACGCAAGTTATATGTGCGTGAAAACTGACGCGTTGCCCTCGTGAACTTTTCGTTTCCTTGCAGGTCTGATTTTCATGATTGAAGACAAGAATACTCACCGATATAATAGATAAGAAAAACGGACGGGGTTGATTGGTGTTTGCTCTAAAATAGCCAAATCACAGGTCTCACCTTTGAAGGTGTTAATCCAGTGACTAAAATATGGTAACAAGCAGATGACATCAGGAAAAGAATCTAGCTTGATTCTCGGTAATAATTAACAATTGAGACTTCTGGGAAGGGGAGGGAAGGGGGGGGGGGAATGATCCTGGACTACATTTATGATGTAGGATCCGTGCACCCGGAAGACACTCTCCTTAAAACTTGCAACGGCAATTCCCGCGGGTTTTACCTTTTTGTTTCCTCTTTTCCTCAAACAACTGCAAGAAACTTGCTCTGAGAATGAGGGAGCACTAACATCGAGTGATCATATGAATGAAAAGAATTTTATTCAGCGTAGATTCTTCCTTGTCTTCGATAAAATTACCGGCAAACAATTGCAAGCTTGACAAGCTGTGCATGCATCACTTTCCGTTTTTGTTGCCCCCATATAACGGATCTATTCTTAGCTGATGTGCAAGTTAGACCAGATGTAATGCTACGAATGTTTGACGAAGTTCGGCTTTATGAAAATTGACTACACTCCAGTGGCGATTTTTGCACAACACGATATGACTTTATAATCACAGGCCAGGACGAAACAGCATGCACTTCGGCTTCGCTATTAAAAAGTTACTTGTGCTACAAGTAACCGTGAAGTCAAAGTTAGCTGATGCTTTTTGCGGTGAAACGACAAAAACAGTAAACATCAGTCGGCACTTTTTCCTTCATTCCAAGATCAGGCCAACTCATGTCATAATTGTTGAGTGTTTTTTTACGCTGGAGCGAATAAAAACTTCAAAACATTTTCACTAATTTTTATAGCATATGGTACGATTTTGCACCTTTTTGATTTTTTAAAAGAAAGATAAAAGATTCGGTTGAAATTTTAGCACTGCTTGAGTAATATAAACCACAGCAAACGATTCTGCAAATTTTTGATTTTTTAAAAGAAAGATAAAAGATTCGGTTGAAATTTTAGCACTGAGTTAT